ACCGTTCTTGAGTGTCGACTTCAACCGACTAGCAGATCTCGGGTGATTCAGCTCAAGAACGAGCTCTACCGCACGCAAATGAAGGATCTCACCGTCCAACAATACCTCACCCGAATCAAGCAACTCGTGGACAATATCTCGGCATCCGGCTCCAAGATCGAACCCGAGGACATTATACTTCACATACTCAACGGTCTCCCTTCAACGTATAACTCCTTCAAATCAACCATCCAGAACTCCCTCCTACCGATCGATCTTGACATTTTCTACGCCCTTTTGTGCAACGAAGAAATACATCTTCAACAAGAAACACTTCAAGAACAGCAAAATAGCACCAACCCGTCGGCTCTTTATGCAGCCCCATCCAACTCTTCTCGCTACCGCATCAACAACAACCGAAAATCAAGCAAACCGAAATACCAACAATACAACACACCCAACACAGCTACTTCGTCCACCGCCCCTACCCAGCCACCGCAATCAAGACCGCTGTGTCAAATCTACGGCAAAATCGGGCACATCGCCCTCAACTGTTGGCATCGCAATAATCCGAAGTATGCTCCAACCGATACTCGTCAACCCCGGGCACTCTTCGCCAACCCTGCTACCTTAGTCAATCAAGAATGGATTCTTGACTCCGGTGTCTCATCCCACCTCACGCCGGACGCCAACAATCTTTACTATCCAACGACTTACCAAGGATCGGACACAATCTCCACGGCAAATGGTAACTCCGTTCCCATCAACAGCACCGGCCAAGGCCTCCTTCCCTTGCCGGAAAGCGCTCGTAAGTTGATACTCAACAATCTTCTCCACGTACCCTCTCTAACGCACAATCTCATTTCTGTTTCTAAACTAACCTCCGATAACTACGTTTCTATTTCTTTTGACAAATATGGTTTTGTGATCGAGGACTCTCGGGACCAACGACCACTGCTTCATGGTCGCCTTCATGATGGTCTCTACCACATTAGCACCGCACCGACTCACAAGGACATGGCTCTCACGGTCACAGCTCAAGCTTCGCCCAATTGGCACTCCCGCCTTGGACACCCGAACAAAGACACACAACTTCTCCTCTCTCGGCTGTTCCCGGATATTAAAAACGTTCAACATTCCTTTTCTTGTAACACCTGTAACTAGGCCAAGAGCCACAAACTTGTATTCAATAAAAGCATTACGAATTCTACTGCACCTTTTGATCTCATTCACACGGACGTTTGGGGACCCTCTCCTCACCCGTCCTTGAACGGCCACCGCTACTACCTTTTATTCATTGACGACTACTCAAGATTCTCTTGGATATACTTTTTACACACCAAGAACGAAACCCTTAACATGTTAAAAAACTTTTGCAATTTAATCAAAACTCAATATAACAAGACCCCCAAAGTTCTTCGCTCTGATGGTGGGGGCGAGTTCACAAGCAACGCTTTTCAATCTTACCTCCAAGAATCTGGCACAATACAACAACTTACTTGTCCTCACACGCCAGAACAAAACGGTCTCGCTGAACGTCGCCACCGCCATCTTCTCGATCTAACCCGAGCACTCCTACTCGAATCCGGTCTTCCTCAAAAATTCTGGGCATCAGCTCTCTCCACAGCTCACTACCTAATAAACCTTCTTCCGTCCAAATCAATCGCGAACCAAATTCCAATCCAGCTCCTCACCGGCAATCCACCCTCGTACACACACCTCCGAACGTTTGGCTGCTTATGCTACCCCTGGCTCAAGCCCTACTCAACGGACAAATTTGCTCCCCGGTCGCACCCATGCATCTTCATAGGATACTCACCAAAACACAAAGGGTATTTATGTTACAACAACATCACTGGCCGAACACACGTTTCTCGTCACGTCACTTTTCACGAGAACATTTTTCCTTACCAATCAGCATCTTGTTCTTCAACCGAGGCTTCTCATCCATCCCACACATACCACCACTCCTCCTGACTCCGTCCTCAACAACTTCTCAAACACCCACTAATAGCAGCGTACCCAGCTCGCCGCCTATCCAGAACTCACCTGCGATGGCTCATCAAATTCCCTCGGTCGAACATGTTTCTCCCAATCCCGACATCAGACCGCTATCTCCCCCCATTCAACCTGTCATTACGCAAGGCCACCCAATGCAAACCAGGCTAAAATCGGGCATCCAGAAACCCAAGAAAATATTCAACCTCCTTGCTCACAACAACACAACCGACATCCCTCATACCTACACTCAAGCACTCAAAACTCCAAACTGGCGTGCAGCCATGCAAACAGAAATTGACGCTCTGCAACAACAATCCACCTGGACACTTGTACCACCCCCCGCCGACAAGCCCATCTTGGGCTGCAAGTGGCCTTACAAAATTAAAACGCTTCCTAATGGACAGGTGGATCGCTATAAAGCACGGCTGGTCGCCCTCGGCTACAACCAACAGTTCGGTGTCAACTACAACGCGACATTCAGTCCCGTTGCCAAGATGACTACAATTCGTCTTCTACTTACGCTGTCCCTCCACCGTGACTGGCCGGTATACCAACTCGACGTCGCAAACGCCTTTCTCCACGGAGATCTACCCGAAGTCATCTTCATGCGCCAACCACCGGGGTTCACCGATCCCGCACATCCACATGCGGTATGCAAACTACAAAAGTCCCTATACGGCCTGAAGCAAGCACCGCGTCTATGGTTCCAAACCCTCACCACCTTCCTTTAACAACAAGGCTTTCAGTTTAGTCGTTCCGATCCCTCCCTCCTTCTCTTTACTCAAAACAACATTCAAATATACATACTCATTTACGTTGATGATTTTCTGATTACAGGGAACAACGAACCTGCAATTCGCCATCTACTCAATCAACTTCAAAAGCAATTCGCACTAAAACAACTCGGCCACATCTCTCTCTTCCTCGGCATACAGGTGAATCGCTCCAAACATGGTTATTTTCTATCCCAAGAACACCACGCTACTAAAATTCTCAATGACGCAGGCTACAAAGACTGCAAACCTGCTCCAACACCGGTCACAGCCACGACAAAACAGAGAGCTCCGAACCTGTCACCGTTTACGGATCCCACTCTCTTCCGCCGACTCGCAGGATCTCTCCAATACCTCACCATTACCAGACCGGACATCGCCTTCGCTGCTAACCAAGTATGCCAACATATGCAATCTCCTACCGAACAAGATTTCAAGGCACTAAAAAGACTCCTCTGCTACGTCAAAGGCACCCTATCACACGGTCTACCGATCAACGTTGGACCACTCGAGTTCCGGACCTACTCAGCGCCGACTGGGCATCGGACAACACCGACCGAAAATCCATTTCCGATTTCTGCACCTTTCTCGGTCCCAATCTTGTCTCCTGGACCGTCAAGAAGCAAGTAACCGTGGCCAAATCTTCGACCGAAGCAGAATATCGGTCACTCTCCGCAGCCGCCTCAGAAGTAATCTGGCTTCGACGACTCGCATCCGAACTCAACCTCCTGCAATCCTCACCGACCGTCATCTACTGCGACAACACCTCGGCAATGGCTATAGCCAAAAACCCGGTGTTTCATGCCAGGACGAAGCACGTTGAGATCGACTATCACTTTATTCGTCAACAAATAAGCTCCGGTCAAATTGCACTTGAGCACATCTCCTCGACGGATCAAATTGCCGACATCTTCACGAAGCCATTCGCAATCTCACGGTTTAACGAACTACGTCACAAATTAAACATTCGTCCAAACGAATGCTTAATTTGAGGGAGGATATTAGCAGAAATAGAACCTTCTATTTGTCAGTTTTATTATTTACAGCTTTAACATTGTAATCTCTATATATAACCCACTGTATCTCTCTAATAACATATACAGACATTTTATTTCTCTATTCTCCTTCTTCTCCTCTCGCTCACGTTCTATCCCTTGAGGTCTTGCTATCAAGTTAAACGAGCTCAACCATAAGCCAAATTTTTGGCTCGATCAGACCTTCAACTTTATTTCGAGCATGCTTGAATTAGATCAAGTTGGCCCGAGATATCTAAAATATATAAATAATTGTACATATGAATACGTACACATATATTTTTATTTGTTTAATATTTGAATGAATGTTTATATACACATATTTGAATGAATGTCTATGTACATAAAAAGATTCAAAATCAATCGAAATTAGATTGTACTAAATTTTAATCGGAAGATTCGAGATCAAATTGAATTACTTTGAGCTGATCTTGAGCCAAAATTAGATCAACTCAAGATTGAATCATTAACAACCCAAATTAAAATTAGGTTTAAGTGTTAATTCTCACTAATCCACATTTGTTATTTTATAATAAGCTCAATAAAAAAATAGTATCCACCTCAATTGAATTACTTACAATATTTGAATGAAATACAAAAGAAATGTAGTGATTCACAGTTTAAATAAATTTTTTCTTTCTTACAGGTTTGAACTGTATGTCATCTCAAAAAAATTCGGCAAGGCTGATTAATAATTTTCTCTTTAGTAACCAAACCCAGGTATTTACTAAAGAAATATGAACAAATCAACACCACGTTAATCAACTTTCCTTCAGAACAAATGCCTCACCCATGTTTCTAAACTTGGTTCCAGGCAAAAGTAAAAGAAGAACAACAACAATAGCATGAAGCCTTTATCCCACTATATGAGGTCAGCTACGTACATGAATCCTTTTTCACCGTTGTGTTCACTTAAGAGTTAAATTCACATTTAAATTTAATAAAAAAAATCATTTCTAATATTTCCTAGCCAAGTCTTTTTAGGACTACCTCTATCTTCTTAACATAAGCTAAATCTAATACATCTATCTCTCCTAACCGGGCCATCAGAAGGCTGACATTTTATGTAACCAAATCATCTAAGGCGACTCTCTCTAATCTTATCTGCCATTGGAACTACTATAAGCTTTCTACGAATATACTCGTTTCACATTCTGTTCATAAGAGTGAAGCCACTCATCTAAAAGAAAAAAAAAAGTTATATGCAACCAACTAAAAATGAAAAAGAGTTTTGATCATTGACATTAGCCAAACCACTACTAGCATAATAAACATGCCCTTGTGGATGCACAGAAATAGAATTTTCTGTATTTAGACTTTACAAGAAAACGGAGTCTAAATCAAAATCAATTAAAGCAATTAAAACACCAACACAACAACTGCAGCTTGTTGCAGGCTCTAACTAGGAAGAGAGAAGATTCAGGCAAAGCCTGTCATCTTCAAGAAAAAAAGGTAGGAAGGAGCCGAACTGACATGATTTATACATGGAGGCACAACATTGACAAGAAAAGAACTACATTCTGGGAGAAAGTTCGGTGTCAAAATTTCTCTCTTGCTAACTTTAATGGTTTCTCTTTTGAATGTGGTTGATCACTGCTGGAAGCTGTTAGCAAGTGATGATCCAGTTCCTCCTCGTCATCACTCACTTCCAAGGTTGAAGCATATGAGCCTGATCCATCTTTTTGTACCATTTTCCATCAAAGGGAAATAAGTGTCAGATCTTAAGAAGTTATTTATATTAAACTTCTAAAGAATGCAAAAAATGTTCATTTGAAAAATAGAAGATTTCTTGTATGTTTTTGAGAATTCACTTCTTGGATCTTATAAACAAAATTGTAAAAAAAAAAAAAAAATCAATTCCTGATGAAATAGATGCCGCATGGCCTGTGGAAACCAAAGTCTCTGATTGATCCAAAAAAACAATGAATTTGGCATTAGAAAGTTCAGTTCCAAGTGGAATTCTTGTAAAAAATGAATTGATAATATGAAAACTTTAAAAAATGCCTTCTTTGATGGAATTTCCTTTGTTGAACTTAGCCTCATGTGCAACAGCAGGGAAAGATGGTCCAGGTCCGACCAAAACACCAAGCAATCAGGTAAGTGATATACTATACCCATGGCCCAAACAAAATACAGTGCCGCAGTAAGGGCAAATCTCTCCCCAATAGCAAATCAAGGGCACTGATAACAGTCAATGCAATCAGGAGAAAGAAGTTTTTCTCATCAGAACTTTTTTTTTTTTCTATTAAATAAGAATAAGGATGATTTGAAGCAGTACCTGTATCATAAAAATTAATAAGAAAGATGATACGGCCTCCTCAGCAGGAAAGGGAGGCGGGCTGGGCCAACCCAGCCGGCCAGTTCAACAGGAGCTGAACAAAGGAGCAGGCTGGGCGGAAACAGAGAATCAGCGAAGGGAGATTTCAGCCCCCATGGTGGGGCCCAATAAAGATGAGTCATTATGTAAGGAAGAGGAATCAAGGGAAAATTATTTAGGTAAAAAGTTCCAATTTTCAAATTATGATGGAATTAATTAAGGAAAGGGAGCTAATTTGGGAGGGAATTAATTAAGGAAAGAGAACTTATTTGGGAGAGGATTATGAGAGTCCATTTATGACTATGTTGTTATTTTGGCATCATACAGTTTGTTTTCTGCTGTAGTTTTCTTTATGATTTTCCTAGTGGCGCCTAGGGTTTCTGCGAGAGCCGATCTACCTCTCGAATAGTATATCTATTATGCATTGTAGTGTTTTTTTAAGAAGAAATTAGAAAATAGCTATTATCTTTATGTTCCTATGCTTTTCTTCTCTTTTGTTTTCTATTTTTACTTCCAAGACGCATCAAATTAGCATCAGAGTGAAGTTTTGAAGGGATGGCTGCAAAGAAAGTGGATGCATTGGAAAGCGAAGTGGACCAAATCAAATCCAGAGTGGAGGAGAAGTTCTCAAACATTGAAGGAAAATTTTCAACTATGGAAGGAAGGTTTTATCCATAGAAAACTGATTTGGAGGGGTGGAGGAGATGATATGGAAGCTCATGGAGATGCAATTCAAAACTCCACCGGTGGTTTTGATTGCTAACCCTAATCCAGAATCGGACCAGGATTCCCTTGGCTGAATATAAGGGAAAAAAAGACCGGTCAGGAAGAGTTCGATAAGGAGAGTTTTTTCATAAAAAAATCACCTCTTAGGGCTCCGATAAGAGCGGATTAGGAATTTTGGATTGGGGGACAGCAAGCAAGTAGTTTTATGGTGGAGGTGGCGGAGTGTCCGACCACTATAGGAGGCCTTTTGGGAAAGAGGAGTGTATGACCAGAGGAGGGGGACCGGCCGAGCAATGGGCATCGGGTCATGTAAGGTGGGATTCAAAACCTCGATACACGGTAGAGATGCTAGGGAGAGGAAGCTAAAGATGCCGATATTCGAAGGGGAAGATGTGCATGAGTGGGTATACCGGGTGGATAGGTATTTCATGGTGAACGGATTGAGAGAGGAGGAAAAGCTTATAGCCGCAGGGCTATGTCTGGAGGGGAAAGCCCTTGCTTGGTTCCAGTGGAGGTAGAGTAGATATTCGATCCATTCGTGGGAAGAGTTTAAGAATTGCTTGTTAGAACATTTCCAAGCCATTCGGGAAGGAGACCTACACAAGCAATTTCTGGCATTGACTCAGGAGGGGACCATCACGGAGTACACAGAGAGATTTGAGTTGCTATCAGGGCGGTTAAGGGGATTTCGGAGGAGGTGCTGGAGGGAAATTTCATGAAGGGCCTCAAGCCTGTACACGAGAAGACCTTCGATTGTTGAGATCACAGGGGTTAAAGGAGATGATGGAGCTAGCCTAGATAACAAAGGATCAGAGACAGATGGAGAGGATCAGTAAGAGCAGAGTAGCGAGAGGTTCTTACAGAAGTACCTCGACTTCACTGGCACCGAGAAGGGTTTTTAGGCCTCACCAGGTACTACCGGAAGTTTGTACGAGGGTATGACACGATAGCATGGCCACTGACTGAGAAGCTGAAGGACATTTTCAATTGGGGGGAAGCAACGACACAAGCCTTCAAGCAGTTGAAGAAAGCCATGACCAACATGCCAGTATTAGCACTTCCTGACTTCAGCAAACCATTTGTGGTAGAGATGAATGCATTAGGATACAGACTAAAGGCAGTACTCATGCAGGATCATCGACCCATTGTTTATTTCAATCAGGTGCTCACTTCCAGGGCGAGGCCCTAGTCTGTATACCAACGAGAGTTGATGGCAATTGTCATGACCATCCAAAAATGACTATTTGTTGGGGCAACATTTTATAGTTAGGACAGACAAGAGAAGTTTGATGTTTCTACTGGAGTAGAGGATGGTGATGGAAGAGTATCAGAAGTGGTTATCCAAGTTGTTAAGATATGAATTCCAATATTGCCTAGAATAAGAGAACAAAGCCACAGATGCACTATCACGGAAGACAGACGAGCCACAGTTGATAGCTCTATCAATACCTATGGTCCTAGATTGGGAAGCCTTGAGACAGGAGAGTGAACTTGATGAGGGTCTAAGGAAGATCAAAGCCAAGTGGTTGTAGGACATAGACAGTTATCCTAGTTACACATTAAGGGGGGCCCAGTTGCTGCATCAGGGGCGATTGGTTTTACCGAAGAGATCAGGGTACATCTCCAAGTTATTGCAGGAGTTTCATAGCAGCACAGTTGGAGGACATTCAGGAGCTCAAAAAACCTACAGTCAGCTGTCAAGAATACTATAATGGGTAGGGATGCTCCGCAATGTAGAGGATCAGGTTGCAGGACATAGACAGATATCCTAGTTACACATTAAGGGGGGCCCAGTTGCTGCATCAGGGGCGATTGGTTTTACCGAAGAGATCAGGGTACATCTCCAAGTTATTGCAGGAATTTCATAGCAGCACAGTTGGAGGACATTCAGGAGCTCAAAAAACCTACAGTCAGCTATCAGGAAAACTATAATGGGTAGGGATGCGCCGCAATGTAGAGGACCAGGTAGCAAGATGTGATGTGTGCCAAGGCACAAGTACTTGTCCATGACACCATGAGGAGTAATTATTGTGTCCGGACACCGAACACGTCCAGAGACCAATAACAAAAGGCCACGTCACTTGAGCACTCGGTACCGAGCACTCGGTATCGCTCGGTATTTGTCCGGATTTCCCGTTTTTTGTCCGAACGTAATAACTTTTCTAGCATGAGGGTTACTACAGCCTCTAGCTTTGCCAAGAGGGTGTGGGAGGAGGTGACGATGGATTTTATCGAGGGATTGCCATGTTCGGAGGGATTTCCGATGATATTAGTAGTAGTTGATCTTCTGAGCAAGTATGCACATTTCGTCCCTCTAAAGCACTCCTATATCGCGGTCTCTGTGGCTACTGCTTTCATACGGGAGATAGTGTGCTTACATAGATTCCTAGAATCAATTAAGTCAGATAGAGACAAGGTGTTCCTTAATCACTTCTGGAAGGAGCTGTTTCATTTATATGGGACAGTCTTGAAAAGAAGCATGACATACCACACCTAGACAGATGGCTAGATAGAGGTGGTTAACAGAAGCGTAGAGACCTATTTGAGACGTTTTGTATCTGATACACCGAAGAGTTAAGCAAAGTGGATTGCAAAGGCTGAGTATTAGTACAACACTTCGTACCATTCAACAGAATAGATCACTACTTTTAGGATTCTCTATGGGAGCGATCTACCTCATTTAATGCATTATGGGTAGAGCACTAGACCAGTTTCCAGTGTAAATCAACACTTAGTGGAGTGGGACAGGATATGGGTTGAGTGCAAAGGACATCTGTTGCAGGCCCGAAGAGAAAGGCTGATAAGCAAAGAAGAGAAATACACTTTGAGTTAGGAGATATGATTTACTTGAAGCTAATGCCCTACCGACAGAAGACACTAACCATGAGGAATGAAAAATTATCTCCATGATACTTTGGCCCTTAACGAGGTTTTGGAGTGCATAGGAGTAATGATGACTGGTATTATCGCCTTCATCAACATTACACACAACATTTCATGTCTCATAGCAAAGACGAGCGATAGGAGATCACACACTGTCTTTACTACCTGCAACTTTGACAGAAGACATATAGGTCATTTTGAAACCCTTGAGAGTAGAAGTGTTGTGCCAATGGGAAATAGGGGCACAGGAAGAACTCATCTTGTGGAAGGATTTTCCATAGCGCAAAACTACATGGGAGCCATACGAGACGACCAGGAGATAGTTCTCATCCTTCCACCTTGAGGATAAGGTGCATTTTTTTGGGAGGAGTATTGATATGACCTGATCAATAGGAAAGAGGGGCGGACTAGGCTGGGCCAACCCAGCCGACCGATCCAACAAAAGCTGAACCAAGGAGCATGCTGGGCAGAAATAAGGAATCAGCTAAGGGAGATTTCGGCCCTCCTTGTGGGGCCCAGGAAAAATATGATTGATTATGTAAGGAAGAGGAATCAAGGAGGAATTATGTAAGGAAAGAGTTCCAATTTTGAATTCAAATATGAGAGGGAATTAATTAGGGAAAGAGGGTTGATTTGAGAAGGAATTAGGAGAGCCTATTTAGGGCTAACTATTTTGTTATTTTGGTATCATGCATTTTTGTTCTCTGTTGTAGTTTTCTTAGTGAGTTTCTTAGAAACGGCTAGAGTTTGTGGAAGAGCTGATATATTTCTCGAATAATAGATCAATTATATCTTGCATTATTTTTTAAGGAGAAATAAAAAAACAACCATTATCTTTGTGTTCCTACACATTTCTTCTCTTTTGTTTGCTGTTTTTACTTCCAAGATGTGTCAAAAGATCAACTAGAAGCCAGAAATATTAAATAGTATTATTAAATATTACATTTGGAGATCTTGTTTCCAACTAATTTCTTTAGCTTCTCTTACTTTTAAAGTTAGAAGTAGCTTCATATCAACTTGAGGTTTAAATGAACCTTAGCTCTTAATGAATAACTCCTATGAAACATGACGATATATGACGTTCATTTTTAAAGCAACTATGCTCGTATCTTAGTTGTATCTTTCACGAAGGGGGAAAAAAAATTTTCAGTCATGAGATCATCCCTTCAAGGGCATTTGAGACACACCACAAAACATGCATATTTACCATCGAAGCACATTGAAAAAAATGTAAATTGTAAGTACAAAAATGAAATATAGCTAGAGAGCTACATCAAAAGCAAGCTTTTAAGAAGAATCAGCAGGGGGGATAACAAGAAGATAAAGCTGAATCCAAAACAAGTAAGATAAATAGGCTATAGTCAAGATGGTAGAAACAACAACAACAACATTCAGCCTTTATCCCACTACATGGGGTCGGCTATATAAATCTTTTTTTTTGCATTGTATCCTATTAAGAGTCAAGATGTTAGAAAAACTAACAAAAACAAGAGTTGTGTAAATTGCAAGTACAAAAATGAAGTTTAGTTAGTAACCTATACCTAAATTCAAAAGCAAATTTTTAAGGAGAATCAGCCAGGGGTTTAGCAAATTGTATAAAGCTAAATCCAAAACAAGCTAGATTAAATAGGCTATAGTCAAGATGGTACAAGTCTAACATAAATGAGTAGAATAACTGCAGCTTACCCGAGAATGCTGAGTGATCAGGTAAATGCCTGACTGTTGTCACATGAATGTTTTCTGGTAGAAGGCAATTGCATAAAGAACCTGAAACTTTCAAAAAGCAAACAAATTAAAACCTAATGTTGCAGGAAGTGAGAAACTCTTTAGAATATATTTTACCTAGTCTGGCAAGCCGATTCACCCATCCTGGAACAGGCTTTCCAGTGAGATGCATACAAACATCATTGGTGAAATGATTGCAGTTCTTCACTATCAAATTGTAAGTGTCGCCATGATATTTTCGAGAAAGTTGCTCGATAAATGATCGGAACTCATCTTGGGGCATGGTAGTGGTGCCCAACCACACGGTCCGTCTGTAGATAAAGCCAGGGCAGCCTCTTGGTTCTACTTCAAAAACTCCACTTGTTGGGTAGTCATGGGCTCCAAAGCCGTATTCCATGCCATGAACTGGGTTATTTAGTAAAATAATAACATTAATCACTGAATGGGAAAAATAAGTGATAACAAACTTATGGGAATGATGATACTGTGATCTCCTCACATGCTTAAATTGAATGATTTCTAGCAATCAAGATAAAACCTTGAGTTTTCCTCGATAGCGTGTTCAGGAAATTGCGTTTCATTACATAATAATGCAAGCTCTCAAGAAATTTCACAAAGTAATATTTGAGTTTTAGGATAATTATTTCTTTTAACATTTTTTATTTTAGATTACTCAACAAAATTTACTACTTATTGTATTAAACACACAAAACAAAGTAGATGATGGAATAGCTGGGGGAGGGAGTTGCTTTTGGAGTCTTAGAAGTGCTCGCACTTATTCTAAACGCAATATATATATAGACTAATATCCTTCTAGAAGGATGGAAGCTTTTTTTTTTTAATTGATTATTGAGAATAAATCTAAGGATGGAAGCTTTTGTCCTCATACATCTACATTTTTTACGGAGATTTAAAGTAGCTAAAAATTAAATAAAAAAGTAACTGAAAGTTATCTTTTAGTTACTTTAGAACTCAAGCATTAGAATATCTGGGTGAAGGATGGAAGATGCGTCCCTCTCTCTCTCTCTCTCTCTCTCTCTCTCTCTCTCTATATATATATATGTGTGTGTGTGTGTAATTAATATATTGATAAAATTGACAACAGTGAGTTGTACGCCTATGCATAAGAAAAGCTATAGTTATAGAAACATAATACTTGCATGGAATATTCATAAATCTCAATCTGCCTACTGAATGTAAAGCGTTGTGTTTGAAGGATTTGAACCCAGGCCCCCCATTGGAGGCACGGGCAGTCTCTCTGGGTAAAAAATCCGGTGGCTTCGATTACCAAATAATATCTAGAAGGAACAATATCTTTTCTCTGTCCTTTGTTATCTTCATAGAGAGCAACTTATGGATGGGCCATCAAACATAGTGGAAGCAAGTAGACATGTATTGATGTGATACAAATAGGAATTGCAAGGAATTAATAAAATATTGTAAAACTTGCCACTTTAAGGTTATGTATCACAAGGTATTACTTTAGGAATTCTCAATTGTAGTTTGCTTTGGCATGCGGTTACAAGCTATGATAACAAGACCATTAAAATAATAACCAAAAGTAGAGTAAAACTATTTATGCCGTAACAAAAATCCACAGATTACTATCTAGAACATTCACCTTGAGTTTCCCTCCCTCAATCTCTATATTGATTAGCGGACGAAGAAGTTTAGCACAATTGACGATGCCACCAAAATAAAGAGAAAGCTTACGATACCGTCCAGAGAAAAGCTAGCCGAAGTTGGAGTGGGTCGACGATGTAGAAGTTGCCACTGGATTGGAGGATTGTTTTTGTCGATGGCGTTCGTCAAGGAGAAGAACATTATGTTGACATATTCTTCCATGGTAGAATCAATGTCCAAATTAATGTCAAAGAAAGGTGAGTTCAATACATCAATTCGTTCTTGAGAGTCAAATACGAATCTATGATCGACATCCGGATCGGCTATGCATGTAAGAAATGAATCAAAGGGTGGTGAACCTTCTTCCTTGGAGAATTTCGGCTAGGGCTAGTAGTGAAGCCTCTTTGATTTGGCCTTTAGTATAGGGGAAGGGAAATTAAAATCTGAATTTAAGTTCAGATTTTTGTAAATGAGGAAAGGGGAAGATTTGAAATTCAAATATCCCTAATGGGGGGAAAATTATTAGGTGGGATTGGAGAGAGGAGGCCGGCGGTTTAGGAGGTTTAATGGGTGAATTTATGCAGGTGGGGGGAATTAATTGGAGATAGGAAAAGGCAAGAGAGGGGCCGACCAAGAAAGAGAGGGGAGGGGGAGGGGGGGGATTGTCCACATTCATTGAATGTGTTTAGGTTCAATGAATATTGGAATCAGAATTAATTCCAATTGATTTTAGATTGGGAGAGATTTGTGGAGGCATTCCTAAATTAGGTTAATCAATAAGGAAAGAATTTGAAATTTAAATAATTTTGAATTCAAATTAAAAGGGACTTCCCAAATCAATACTTGGATGCTTTAGAAAGTATTTGGGAGGCAAATTGAATTTGAATCCCAAGGTTTGGCCCTAGGTGGGCCGGCAGCTATGGATGTGGCCGGACAAGCCGATGGCTAGGCGAGGGGTGGGTTTTGGGTCAATGGGGGATGGGCTTGGTGGTGGGGTTTGGGCTGTGGGTTGGGTAATCGAGAAGGCCAGTGGTGGAGAGAGGTAGGCGGCAATTTAGGGTGGAGGGTTGGTGGATGGCCGGCAGGTATGCGGGGAAGAAGGGGTTTTGGTTGTAGGAAAGGAAGGAGGAAAGAGAGGTGGAGGCTTCGGAGGAGACGAAGAAATAGAGAAGAAGAAAACCATGAGCTCGGATCCCTCCGACGGCTGGTGGGTATTGCACCTCCCTCTCCTAGGGATCTCACCAAATTCCTCTCAAAAGCTCTCAACACTCAATGGAAAAAGAAAGTAGTACATTTTTCATTTATCAAATCATCATCCAATACAATAGAGAAGGCCCGTATATATAGGCCCCAACATAACAAAAGAAAAGGACTAAAGTGCCCCCGGGCTACAACATCGAACTAACTACCCATGGGGGTAAAATATGAAATACTGAAATATAAAATAAAACAATACATATAATGCATAAAAAATAAAGGCTCCTAAACGTAGCCGTCGATCTGTGGTGCCTCCTCTGATAAATGCACCAGAACCTCCTACTAATATCTCCATCATGTATGGATGGGAAAACAATTGACAGAGGCTAAGGTAGTATCTAGGGAATAAATCGAAATCTAAACCTAATCACCATTCCCAACAAGCAATATACAGAAAACGCACAGAGGCTTGTATTCCAAAACAAAAATAAACATTACAGTTTAACAAGTGAAGAAAAGTAATAAAAGAATAACATAGCCGAGATAAGGATTATGGATTATTATCCCTTAGTCTTTCAATCATTAGCTATGTTGCAATGCATTTAAAGATAATGCTTCAGAAGCCAATTATGCTTCATAAGGAAAAAAAAAAAAAACCAACAAAATTTGTCCCACAGATGTTGAGGATATCCTCACGCCAGAAGCTTCTTAGGAACATCTCCAGAGATCCTATTTGCATATCAACCAGCAACCGCCAACCAAAATTTGTATAACTTGAAAAAGCGTCTTTGGCAGTTCATCCAACCATGCATATTAGATGAACCAGGTTTGCCTTCTTGAAGTCGCCCATACCTGCAATTCTTTCTATAGCTTATGCCCATAGTGCTTGTTTAAAATGATTCTGCTGGTAAACAGCCTAGCTGCCTAGGTCAAATGGCAGATTGACCTTATAAAAATTCCACATATCTGTATACCATGTAATTTAAAATTTTATAATGCAGATCAAATCACGGATGAGGATGGAAAGAAGAATTGATAATTTTAGCATAGTCTTTCATTATCTTTCAAAATCAAAATAACTTATAAAGCATGGTGCTGCAGGACAGTGCAGAGTTAACTTTTCTAGTGTGATAAATATGTCGGCTTGCATATTTTCATGTAAGAAAAAAACAGAGAATTCTGTTAGGCTGGGCATGGCTGTCGACCCTAGACCGCCCAAGTTGTATTCCAGGCGGAAACCGGGTCCGCCTCAGCACCTTTCCACCCCCCTTGGGGTGGGGCCCAGGGATTAATTCAAAGGGAGACACGGCGTCTAGGAGGAAAATTCAAATTGGAATGATTATTTTGGGTATTTGCTGGTTATTGTATGCTTTAAGAAGTTTTGTTAAACCTAGGATTCAGTTTTATGTCTTGTTTTGCTATTTTTGAAGTTTACCTAGGTTGAGAAGGCTCTAGCCGGCGGCTAGGAATTTGGGAGAGCCGGATCTTCCTCTCTAATTGAAGATCCATTGTATCTTATTTATTTCTTCTTCCGTCTATCATCATTTAAAAGGTTCTCTTGTTATTCCTCATATTTCTTCTTGTGGATTGCTTTTGGGTGTGCTGAAGTTAAAATTCAGCCAAGGGATTATTTTTATTTCAACCAGCACTTCCTATCAAATTGGTATCAGAGCATAGATCCAGTTATCTATGACTGAGAGAAAGGTAGAAGTTTTGGAAGGGGAGATCGCACAATTGAAATCCAATTTTATAAAAAAAGATTTCAGATTTCGAAAATCAATTTTCATCTGTCCATGAGAAGATTGATGGGAAGTTTGCCATCATGGAGGAAATGATGAGAAAGATGCTCGAGTTTCAAACCAAAATGGCATAGTCAGAGGCGAAGGGAGCCACCAGCAGTCAAGAGAGTGGGGGAAACCATAATCCTATAAGAAGAGGAGAAGAGCAGGAGGTGGAGATTTTCGAAGGAGAGGAGAAAATGCTTTCCTTAGAACCTATTCCTAGGCAGTAGACAAGTAGAGGATATGGGGAAAGGCGTGAGGATGTTAGGTATGAGCGAAAGGGTGTTGAATTTGAAAGGAGAGATGAGGGGTGCTGATTTTGGAAGGAGGAGGGGGGATTTTGACAAAGGTTTTGGATATGAGCATAGAAGGGATGATGAATACACTTGGGGAGGCCCAACCCTTTGGGGAATGTGAGGTGTTGGGGAAACATGGGAAATGAAGAAGATTTGAGGGTAAGAAAGTTGAAGATGCCTATGTTTGAGGGAGAGGATGCACATGGGTGGATCTATAGAGTTGAAACATATTTTGTCATCAATGGGTTGACGGAGGAGGAGAGATTGACAACAGCTAGCATGTGCTTGAAGGGGAAGACACTGACATGATACTAGTGGAGGGACATAAGGTCTATGCGGAGCTGGAGGGAGTTCAAAGATTGTCTGTTAGAACATTTCTAAACTAACTGGGGAGGGGACTTTTATAAGCAGTTATTCGCTCTAACGCATGAGGGATCAATGGTGGAGTACCGTGAGAGGTTCGAGTAACTTTTCAGGTGACTAGACCTGCTATCAGAGATTGCATTGG